GTCATTGCCACAGACCGAGGTATTCATTTGAATCTTACACATAGACCGGCTGTCACTTGGATAACAGTACACACGGACCACGGGCGGAAAACCTGTAAAACAGTGATAATTTACATTGTAATACGCTACAATCGTGTTTGTAAATAAATTATTCTTATTTTTTTTGTATTTTTTATAACCTTTTGTAATGTCGCATATTTGCGACGCCCGGTCTACAGCGAAGACAATAGTGAAAATTATCATAGTTTTATTAAAATAGACCAAACGTCGCATATATGCGACAGTTCATTTTTTGTGTTTTTAAAGTGAAAGTAAGTAAAAAAATAAACAGATTATTCAAGAACAGTTTATAACTGAACAAATATAAAAGCTACACAGGATAATGCAGCATACATACTGCATAAATACATACAGTGATGCAGAGAAGTAAATACCAGTTTTTCCAACTATTATATGACGTCACCAATCATCATATCCACAGACCAAGCGACGCAGTTGTGCGTCAGACATCTCTGTAGACCACTGCTGGGAATTCAGTGCCTTCAAATAGACCACTACAAAGATATAAGCATTTTAATAACATTAGAACCCCGACGCAAATATGCGTCGGCAGTATGTTTTTTAATGTGACTAGCCGACGCATATATGCGACGGCAGTCTATGGGTGGAAACCGGCCGTCGCATATGTGCGTCGCTGGTCCATGTGAATGGAAAATTTCGTACTATTGCAGTAGCGAACGTGTTAAAGGTGTAAAGCGGGATAAACTTGAATGAGTTCGCGAACCAGCATGATCAGACCATGGGAACGTGGCTTTACGGGGGTTTTATGGGGTAAAAATTGGTTTTTCTCACTTTTGACCCTCAAAACACAAGATTTCCCAATTTCTCTTTAGACCTTTTTAAAGAGCTTAAAAAAACAATTAATTTAGTATATAAAAGTATTTTTGTTCGGTTAATAGTAACGGAGAAAATTAAAAAAATTGTAAATTTAAAATTCCCATGTTATTCTTATGGAGAATATTGTAAAATGTTGTAGTTTGCTTGTTTATGGATATATTTTGTATTTTGATCAAATTTATTTATTTTGTACTAAGCTACATATCAATATTTTACAAAAAAACACACTTATTAGTTTCCTTGTAGCAGCAAACCTAGGTACGCGTTAAACTTAATGTTATTATAATATATTTAATTGAAAATCAATTAAGACAAATGGAAATTCGCTTAGTCGGCAGGTTTGCTGCGGCGGGGGTATTTTATTTAGAAACTCATCTATACTATAGGGAGCCAGATTAATTAAGATCGATTTTAGTTTCTTTAAAAAAATTGGGTTTGTTTTGATCTTTTTTTAGTACGGCAGGCAAACTTCTTATGAATAAATTTAATTGCCTATTAATGATTTGTCATTGGAAGGCAATAACTCTTTGAGTTGTTTTTTATTTTATTTGTTATTTATAGTAGTAAGTTTAATTGTATAAAATTTTTTAAACGTTAAAACCCCGATATCTAATCTAACTAATACTATAAATGTGAAAGTTTGTGTGTTTGTGTGTTTGTTTGTTTGTTTGAAGTCAATCACGCGTAAACCACTGGACGGATTGGGCTGAAATTTGGCATGATGATAGCTCACATTCCCGATTAACATATAGGCATATTCTTATCTAAAAAAACATTTCGGGCTCCACCCCATTGGCTCTGTAGTTCCCCATGTTAATCTTATGACTATTCATATTTAAAGGGAATTAAAGAATTTAGTCAGCTGTTTCAACTAAAAAAGTTGGTTCTATGATCTACAAAAGCATTAAAAATCTATAAGATTTTACCAACAGGTGCAGCAAACTATATTTTTTTTTGCATTTATGTCAACAGCTAATTTGAACTAAGCAGCAACATAAAACTGTAATACGCTATGAGAACTGTCAAAATAGGATTGTTTACAGTTGTGTTTATGTTTTTAATTTCATGAATGATTTGTAATTTTCTGCAAATTTTTAATATTTTTTTTATTGTTTAGGTGAAGTGGTAGAACATTATGGCTATGATAGATGTGTAATACCATAGTATACCGTAAATTTAAAGAAGCAAATTTTATCAAACTTTGTCCTCCCCCATTGCAAACGCAAAGCTTGAGTATAACTGCAATAAGCATTTTAAACTTAATTGCACACCCCGTACGAAGGACGGGTACTCTGCTAGTTCATTCACAAACACCCGGTATTGCATCTTTTTTTTGTCTGGACAAAATATGAGTTGTGTGCTGTGTTACTAAAATTCCCCTAATACTTCATTCAAAACTATCCACATACTCAAACACAATAGTCTTAAATTTCAGTTATAACTTAGCTCAACAATAGCTCAACATTGTATGTTAAGTGATTCAAGACTACACAAATGAAACAATTTTTTAGATGACTTGTATACAAAAATCGTAGATGTTAGCCTTCGAGTCGCCAAATAATATTAAAACAGGTTTAAAATACCTGCTATTAAGAAATCCATTTAACTGCATTCGCAACTAGTTTCAACTCCTATGTGGAGCCATCGGTACAAGGAAGTAAAGAAAGAAGAAGTCCTTGTACCAAAACGTTAAGAAAGATGATGGCTCCACTCTGGTTATCAGTTGCGAAACTAGTTGTGACTGCAATTTAATGGATTGCTCAATAGCAGGTATTTAAACCTTTTTTAATGTAGGTCTATACAAAAAAATTGAACCATTTTGTAGCATTTACCTAATACTAGCTGAACCCTTGCGAATTCGCACGAATAATAGATTAGGATGTTTTAAATGTTTGAATTAAATGTATTTTGTATTAAAAACTAATCAATGATAGTTAAAGATAAATGCATCTTTTACAAAATCTCTTTAAAAACGACATTAGTTGTATGGATGGAACTTTTCACCGTCAACGAATTGTTTCTCTGTTTCTGTAATGAAAACCCTTGCTGCGTCGAAGCTTTTTGCACGACTGAGTGCAACAGTTGCCCATGCGATAAGAGGGGTTTTGGGCCCTTCAGTGCTACCTTGGTAAAGGTTTGTCCCTGACTTTTGTTTATCGTAATTGCATATGCAACGCATAGGACACTGGTATCGTGTCAGTTTAAATGGGAAAACCGAATCAGACGGAGAAAGCCTAACTTTTGGAATTAAAATTAGATGGCCTTGGCTAGGTCCTGTCAAAACTTCACGCCCAACGCTATTTGCATACAGGCCAGTAGATTTCATTCGGGTACCATTGATTATGCCTTTTCTTGTATTTAGGTTTTGCATTAGCATTACAAAGGCGCCAATTTTCAGAGCTATCCTGTGTCGTGGAAGACCACTTCCTTCAAGACTATTGAGAAATTCAACAGGAAACTGTAATTGTTCCTAAGCATCATCGGTGTTGACTGAGTCCACGCTGAGATAAATTCTTTCTTCGCCTGATACTTTTTCAAGGATCGCGATGTTTATTTCAAAACAATCTTCATGGCAGTTGTCACTGTTGATATTGTTTAGAGTTTCCCTCGAGTATATAAAACCAACTGGTGATCCAATGCTAAACAATCGTGAAGGTAACACAGATGCTGATTGTTTAACGTTACTGGACGGCAGTGTGTCATTTCCTACGTTCAATAGAAAAGTTTCAAATTTCTCTTCTCCAGTTAGGACTTGAACATTCCGTGTTAACTGCATTTGCTTGACTTTTGGCCATAGTATGTGTGATTTAATACACGCTTCAATTACTCCAGATCTTCCGGAATGGGGAATTACAGGCAGTGTCTGGCGGAAATCACCGCACATGAAAAATGTCTTCCCTCCAAATGGTTTTAATTGGTCTAATTCACCTACAGCGATGTCTCTCAATAGTCTTGTCAATTATTGTAAGGGCTGGTGCTGGCATCATACTGGCTTCATCGAGAATAATTAGTTTAACAGTATTCAAATACTGAGCATGAATACGATTAGGCTTAATCTGTGAGACTGAAGTTGCATTCAATGGAAGTTTGAATGCGTTATGAAGTGTTCTTCCACCATTTACCAAACTGGCAGCCCTGGCAGCTATTCCTTTGACCGCAACAGAATGCAGTTCCTCTGCATCTCAAATATGTCATTATTGTCCTACCTTATACAAAGGCCCTCCACCATTATGTCCTTCAATTTTAGCTCGAGTGCTGACTATTGCGAGCGAAGAGTTGTACGATCTAATGTTCTCTTTGTAGTTTCTGCTCAAATGATTTGCTCCATTAAGTAGGCTCTGGATATTAACAACTTTCTCGGTATGGTGGTAGATTCACTTTTCCTTTATGGCAGCAGGAAGAAAATCCTTCGCCTTATCCTCTTTGTTCTTCTTTAAAATGTAGCGCACCACATTCCTGACATTTTAATGCCATCTCGCTATGTGAATGCTGCTGAATTCTTGTATTTGTCAGTGCAATTTTGTAAGAACAAGTTGCCACTAACTTGTTCCAGCTCCTCGTCTGGGCTCCTTACGTTTTGCATTGCTTGCCGTATATTGACTCGCCGTGTCCGACCGGCAATATTTCTTTGTCGTTAGGCCCTTGGCATATTTAAATGGAAATTAAATGTAAGCTTTTCTCCCATCGTGTCCTATAGGTAACATTTCTTTCCCGGGTTTCTAATTATTTTTAAAAACATGCAAACTGTTTACATTTCAAAACCAAACAAAACAGCTGGGATTTATTTTTTATGGAAAACTAATGTATTGACACCTGTTTTAAAATTTAATAACATTCAAATCAATAACAATGTTATCCTTATGGAAGGAACTTTGAGGGAAGTCCAGGCCCTTAAAAAGATATATTTCAAAAATCTAAAGCCAGTTTGCACATCTACACACCTAGACGAACATTTTGGTTTATAATATGTGGGGTTAAATCTTAAAACAAAAAAGCCTTGTTGTTCACAAAGTTTCATGTCGCGTATTAAATATATAGATAGATGTAGCCTGGTTAACTTTGGCTGCAGGCTATTTTGCTATGTAATGTTTTTAATTTTACAGACTCTGGAGGAAGGTCAAAAAGATCAAGAGCAAGTAAAGCGGCCGACAAATTTGAAAAGCTTAAGCAGTTAAAAGGGAGCAAACATAAATATGAGTTGCAAGAAGTTGAAAATGTTTATGAGGAGGTTGATGAAGAAACTTATGCTGAAAAAGTTCTTGAGAGGAAAGATGATGACTGGATTGTAGATGATGGTAAGTATCAACCTTTTTTTAATCAAAAGAAGTTGGTGGTCTTTTTTAACCTCGCATTGCCCCTGCACATAGGTCTTAATAATAATGTTAATAGCAATAAGTTTAGATAATGTATATGTGGGCTAGAATCATCCAGCAAAGCAAGGGTTACATAGAAGCTACAAGAGTGAATAGTACCGGTTATTAGCCTATAAAATTTAGTGGTGGATACCACGACACGAACCCACAACCTCACTGTTATATAGTTTCATTGTCTGTCGTGCTACTAACTTACTTAAAACACCATCAATTGCAACCAAAGATATTGGCAGGATAATAATATTTGTATTATTATTATTGGTACAATAATAATGATAAATTTTTGATTTACAAAGTAGGCCTATGTCAATGTTTTTTACTACACTATGATGTTTTTAGCTTTTTTAAAAATGTTAAAAACGTGTTTAAGTGTAAAAAAATGTTACCTATCTAGCCCACATATACGTCCGAATATCTAGCCACATATAGGGCCGAAAACCTTCTATTCATTCTATTAATTAAAACATTGATGTTTGTTAAATACAAAATCAGTAGGCCTATCCTTATTATGCATTGCAATAAGACTTGTTTTATTTTCACCGCTCCCTAGCAACTATTTATTATTTTTGCTGGTTCCTCTAAATGTTTTTTCACATAAAGGCGGGTTTACACGCTACGATAAAACATAACAATTTGTCTGCAACAACAAATTGCTACGTTTTGTCGATGTGGGTTGTGCAGTTTAGACTTTCCTTCTTTTAAAACAACTCCGATTCCACCTCTGAGAGGAATGTCTGGTTGCATAAGTGCCGCGCATATGCGCAATAGCAGGAACGTCTGTTTGTAGAAATGCTGAGTAAACGATCCGATTACTTTAGATGTAAAGAATGTGAAATGTCACACTAGTTGTAGCAGGTAACTGTTTTTGTTACTTATGGATGATCCCGTAGCCGTATGACGTTGAGACTGCATAATAAAGACCTATGATAGACCTACCATATTTCAGATATAATTTAAGACCTAGGCTACCTTATTAGATTACCTATCTTGTAAGGTCTTAATAATGTTGTAAGGTCTTGTGGTATTACGCTTATTATTCGAGATTCAATATATTCTTATTGTTATAGGTATAGTATAAACCATTTTTTCAAGTAGGCTTAACGCTTTTAATACAGGAGCGTTTTCTCTGCATTTCTACAAGCAGACGCTCCTCCTCTGAGGCTTTTTAGGTGTTCGGTGTTCTGTGCCTGGCCTCGCAATGGTGGAGTTACTATTGTGGTCTTGTGCGCTATTTCCCTTTCAAAAAATGTTAAAAGTAAAAGAAAGCCTATAGCACGGGAAGTTCTTGAATTTGTAAATGAACTTTGCCTGAAATTTTAATTTATAAGTAAAATCAATTTGTTCACTGATAACACACAATGAAAAAAAAAATTTTTTTTTGGTGTCAGTAATCTTACTTTATACGTTAAAATTCCTTTTAACTGCACCCTACAAAACAGAAATCTGGGTTTTTAACCATAGTTCCAATGTAATTCCAATGTAATTGTTGATTATTTAAAAAATTGATTCTGTGTATAAATTTTAGATTTTAAGATAACAGTAGGCTAATTTAAATGATGTAAAAACTACTGTTGTGCTCTTTGAGCCAAAATAGCCATTAAATTCTTACTATTAAGCATTTTGAAAAAAATGGCCTAGCCCCCCTTTTATTTTGGTTAATCGAGTATAAATACTGTACTGACAGTTTTAATTCAATTGTTTAACACTTATTTTTTCCACAAAATCATATCTAAAACATCTCCATGTAGATGGTGCTGGATATGTGGAAGATGGAAGAGAAATATTTGATGACGATTTGGATGATGAGTCAATATCTCGCAGCAAAAAAACACAAGGTGAAAGTAGGAAGAGGGGAAGGTCCAAAGTTGAGAGAGCGGAACTTTCAAAACCTGTTGGAGGAAATATCAGGACTATGTTTGCTAATATGCCAGCCAAGAGAAGAAAAGAAGTAAGTTCTCAATCAATCATATACAGGTCACAGTTAGTCTAATGCGTGGCAGTCTGGTTTCTTGGTTGGGAGATCCATCATTAATGCAGCAATTAGTTTCATTGAAGTCATAATAAGTTCCGTTACAGTTAAATAATATAATTTCAGAAACACACACAGACATCCGTTCGAAAACCACTTTTTTGGGTTCGGGTAAACCCTAAATGAATATTTCTACCCAAAACTCAAACTCGAAAATCTGGACATAGTTAGTATATGTACCTACATATATATATATATTTCACATTTATAATATTAGTAAGATATATTGCTGGACATTTTTGTAATTTCTGCATTAATTACTATTTAGTTCTGTAGGCCACTTAAAAAACAACCTATAACTCCAAAATTACATACTATATTGAAGGGGTTGGTGTAGTACAGTAATCCTTATAATTAAAATTATCAGTATTAGGAATCTATTTTTCAGGTGTCTGTACGGAGATTTGATAAATTTTGCTATCGACATATCACAATTTTTAAGAAGTTATTGATAAGTTGCAGGTTTAAGAATTAGTTTTTACTTTTCAGATTATTTAACCAGTAGTAATATAAAAATTGCATACTTTTGTCGTAATCATAAATTTTGTTTCTTTAACCGAGAATGCTTTTTCCAATAACAAAAATAGCGAACTATGTTAGCGTTAAAACAGCATTGTGGGAGTTGGCGCAAAAACGTGTTGGAAAGTTAAATATGAAAAGTACAACCTGAACTTCCTGGAATTACTCATGAATTTTTTCTGGTTGGTCTGCTGGACACCCTGTCATTCTTTTGTTTAGTTGCTGTAATAACGTCAATTATATTTACCTGAGAAAAGCAGGGTTAAAAGGCCTGATGTTGTTACACATGAGTGACTAAACACGTCACTGTTATCCAACACCATCAAGACAACCTCACCACAGGTGCTACACCATATGTGACAAGGCAGCTGACCCAGACACCGCGTCAGCAGTGCATACGCTACCACAACACCTTTCAGCAGACTGCAGTACAAATAACACTGTATTGTTTCTATCTGGCTGACAAGGAGTTGATTACCCATAAATCAAACACATTTATACTCAAAATTTGACCTTTTTTATTCTTATGCATATGACGACCATCTACTGACCTAAGCAGCCTGCCAAATCTTTAATAAAAAACAGTATTTCTATCAATCAGACCACCATCTACTGACCTAAGCAGCCTGCCAAAGCTTTAATAAAAAACAGTATTTCTATTATCAGACCACCATCTACTGACCTAAGCAGCCTGCCAAAGCTTTAATAAAAAACAGCATTTCTATCAATCAGATCCACCATCTACTGACCTAAGCAGCCTGCCAAAGCTTTAATAAAAACAGTATTTCTATTATCAGACCCACCATCTACTGACCTAAGCAGCCTGCCAAAGCTTTAATAAAAAAACAGTATTTCTATTATCAGACCACCATCTACTGACCTAAGCAGCCTGCCAAAGCTTTAATAAAAAACAGTATTTCTATCAATCAGACCCACCATCTACTGACCTAAGCAGCCTGCCAAAGCTTTAATAAAAACAGTATTTCTATTATCAGACCCACTTTCTACTGACCTAAGCAGCCTGCCAAAGCTTTAATAAAAAACAGCATTTATATCAATCAGATCCACCATCTACTGACCTAAGCAGCCTGCCAAAGCTTTAATAAAAAACAGTATGTTTATAAATCAGACCATCATCTACTGACCTAAGCAGCCTGCCAAAGCTTTAATAAAAAACAGTATTTTTATCAATCAGACCACTATCTACCAACAACAGTTTCCTGAACTTCAAGACCCCTGACATAAAGAACCAGCCAAACTTTTCAAAACTGATACAATTTTACACCTGAACTTCAATATCCCTGACATAAAGAACCAGCCAAACTTTTCAAAACTGATACAATTTTACACCTGAACTTCAATATCCCTGACAAAAAGAACCAGCCAAACTTTTCAAAACTGATATAATTTTACACTGAACTTCAATATCCCTGACATAAAGAACCAGCCAAACTTTCCAAAACTGAATAAGCAACTGGATTAACTAACATGGAAATAAGCAACAAAACTAGCTTTATCATCGGATAAATTGTGTTTGTAAAATTAAAATGGTACCCACACTGGCCAGCTAAAATTACAGAAATTTGTACAAATAAATGACAAAAATTGCATCTCAAAATATAAAGTAATTTTTTTTTGTGACAACAACACAGCTGACGTTCGAGAAACTGATATGTATTGTTATGAACAAAGTAAAGATCTCTATGGGAAACCAAAAATAGACAATTTTAAAAATAAAGTGTTCAACAAAGCCTTAAAGGAAGCAGAAAATGCCTTCTCAAACACGAAATGCTTGAACCCTGACAGAAACACGACAGTAGACAGTAATGTCCTTCCACTAGAAAATCAGCAGCTCAGAGATGTCCTAAATAAAGTACAAGATTTACAAGAACAAGAACAAAATCCTGATGATCTAGAGACATCGCTCACACTTGCTGCGGAAGCTGGACATGCTTTACTGTTAGAAAATAATAAATTAAAGCAAGAACTACATGATATGAAGCAAAAATTCTCTTCCTTAAAATGCCAAGACTTCAGAGACGATAAATTTGCTGAGGTGAACCTTGCTGAGGCAAAAATTGAAGAGCTTGAAAATGACAAGGAAATCTTGCTCTCTCGAAATTCTTCACTGGTTGAAACACTAAATGAAGTAGAACTCCAATTAGAAAAGGAAAGACAACTAAACATTAACATGATACGAAGCTTTGAAAAATAAAATAATGAAAGAGAAAAACTATTACTCGACTCATCAAATGAGATTAAGCAATTAGGTGGAATGATAAACAAGCTGAAACTAAACCAAGAAGACAAAACGAACCTACCTCGGACACAAAAACCTACTGGCACTTCAGAAACACAAACAAATCACTCCGATTTTTATGTTCCCAACTACTGCACCTCTTTAATTACTGAGCTGGCTCAGCTGAAAACTCGACAAGACCAACTAGAACGCTCTGTGGAAACTTTGCACAAAGAACTGCACAAACAAGGTGAACTAACAACCCCTGCTACACCATCAGCAGTCACACAAAGTACACCCACTAAAGAGATTTTTCCTCGTTCTAAAAACCACAACATAAGCAAGAGCAAAAAACCAATTGGGAAGGAAAGGAACCATTTCAGTGTATCTCTCCAAATTGCCAAAAACAAAGCTCGGCTTGAAGAACCTGCCAATGTAGAAATAGGCTTACAGGTAGATGGTGTAGAACAGAAATGTGATGCTGACATCTTGACACATGAAATTACAAGGAGAGACAGCCAAACTCCTTTAAAAAAACAACCCGGATATGACCAGGAGAAACAGCCAAACTCCTTCTAAAAAACAACCCGGATATGACCAGGAGAAACAGCCAAACTCCTTCTAAAAAACTGAACCCGGATATGACCAGGAGAAACAGCCAAACTCCTTCTAAAAAACTGAACACGGATATGACCAGGAGAAACAGCCAAACTCCTTCTAAAAAACTGACTCAAAAAGAGAGGCTTCCACCTACGACAGCAAGGATACGAAACGACCAGGAAACTTTGGATGACTTTTTCATGAAGCATACTGGGGGAGCCAGCCAAACCCCGGCACAAAAACTTCACAAGACCGTCCAAACCGTCACAAGACCAACCCACAAGATCTCTACATAAATCCACCCAGCCAACCTTCTCCACCACTCACCCCTACGCACAATAAAAGTAATTACATAATAACACAAGCACAGGTCCATTTCCCAATTGACTATTCACCACCAAAACAAAAGAGGGATGGCCAAACACACCAAAACAAGAATTTTTTAGACCTTTACCCAAGAAATACAAGCAAATTCAAACAAAAATTCAAAACCAGAATCTTTGTAAACTCGATGCACCCAGCAAACAGGCTAACCTACAAAGAAGACAGCAAGTTCAAATAAAATCAATAAGTAAAAATACAAATCAACTTACCTTCTTTCACCAAAACATGGACAGGATGACAAACAAAATTGAAAGACTTGAACACCTTCTACACAGCACTAACCCGGACTTTGTAATTCTTACAGAACATGGACTAAAAAGTAATGCAATACACCATGCTAAATTGGCTGACTACACACTTATCAGTGTATATGGAAGGAAAAAATATATCAAAGGAGGGGTTGTTATTTACAAGCATAACAATATAACCAACAAAACCGAAAGTCTAGAGATAGAAGGATACAGCTTGGAAATGGTATATGAAATAACAGCAATAAAAATACACATAAACAGGAAGAAGAGCCTTTTTCTCCTTGGAGTCTATCGACCACCTTGTGTTGACCTTGACACGTCACTACAAGTTCTGTCAGATGCACTAGACAGCCTTCCTACTCAGAGAACTGACACACTTATCATGGGGGACATTAACATTGACAGTTTGGATGAGGCTTCTAGAGAATCTGCTACACTAAATTCGCTATTGGATGGGTATAACATAAGAAGACTAGAGCTCCCAGCCACAAGAATCTCAAAGACCTCAGCATCCTCAATTGACATGGTGTGCTCAAATATTCACACCATGATTAAAGTTGTGGTCTCTCACACAGGTCTATCAGACCACACAGGACAATACTGCACACTGGACCTTCCAAAAACAAAAGCAGCAACAACATATAAATCAAGACGGAACCTTAACCACAACAATCTGCTGATCTTAAAAAATGAGCTCTCCACTGTAACAAGGGAACCTGTTTTGAGAACAAATGATGTGGAAGAGGCCTACTTTAATTTCAACCAAATGCTCCAGCTTGCAATTAATAATGCATGTCCAAAAAAAAGATTTCGGACTACACAAAAAAGGGGTAAACGGGGGTAAAGGGGTAAATGTATGACGAAGAGACTATGACACTTAAAAAGAAGTTTTTAATAGCACAAGACAAATTTCTCCTAACTGGTCATCCTGATGACAAGAAGATAGCTACAGATAAGAAGAAATCTTACGACCAAAAATTAAAAAGGCAAGGCAAGAAACAAGTGCTGCATACATTGAACAAGCAGAAAACAAAGCCAAAGCCATATGGAACACCATCAATAGTGAGAGGAAAGGGAGGAAAGAGCTTGTCAACAATTCTACAATAGAACTAAATGACAATGGAAAGAAAATTACTGACCCTAAAGATGTAGCAAACCGCTTTAATTATTATTTTGTAGACATAGCTGAGGAGGCATTAAAACAAAACAGCAGATACAACACACCACCAATAGCTCAAAATCCTCCAGCTACCACATTAAACACTCTCTCTTCCTTCCGTCCAACAACACCTGACGAGATAGGCAGGACCATTCAATCATTAAAGAACTCTACATCATCAGGCATTGATGAAATATCTTCAAAAATCCTTAAAACATGTGCAGATGAATTAATAATGCCGCTAATGAAGATTGTAAACATGTCGATGGCAGAGGGGACTTTTCCAACCAACTTGAAAACAGCCTTGGTTTTACCTAAACACAAACAAGGAGACCTGCAAAACATCTCTAACTACAGACCTATCACGCTGCTCTCATCTGTCTCCAAACTCATAGAGAAGATTATAAAAGTAAGAATCCAGGAGCATCTTAGTCAAAACCAAGCATTGACAAACAGCCAACATGGGTTTGTTCCTGGAAAATCAACCACAACTGCTCTGATAGACCTTGTTGAATATATCATTGAGAACATAGAAAATGGCAACACTATCACCAGCCTGTATCTTGACTTAAGCAAGGCTTTTGATTCCTTGGGACATGATCTTATTTTAACTAAACTTCAAAATTTAGGAATCTAGCGAACAGCTCTGAAATGGTTTGCAAGTTATCTAAAAGGGCGAAGCCAAATGGTAGAAATAAAACACATAACAAAAGGGGTTACAGATACTGTCAGATCTGAATTGCTACCGATTATAGAGGAGTTCCCCAGGGCTCTGTCCTAGGGCCAGTTCTGTTTGGCCTGTTTATTAATGACTTCCCAGAACACCTTGAGGAGTACAGCAAGATGGTCATGTATGCAGACGACACTGTGCTGCTTACAGCAAACAGAAACATAGATCAACTAGAAGTAAACACCTATATAGCTTTCAATATGACACAGGACTACTGTATGAAAAATGACTTAGTCCTCAATGAAAGTAAGACCAAGCAAATTACTTTTGGAAATAAAAAGTCTACAGTATCTGAAATGCCCAACCTGATAGCAGCTGAAGAAATCAAACATCTAGGTGTCATAATTGATGAAAATTTATCCTGGGATCGTCATGTGGCTTGTCTTTGCCAAAAACTTGGGCCAGCTCGCTTTGCCATAAAACGAATCAAAGAGACTAGTACCCCTGAGGCAACGAGGACTGCATACCATACATTGTTTGAAAGCCATATACGCTACGTATTACTGTCTGGGGTGGATCCACTATGGACAATCTTAACCGGGTCCTGGTTATGCAAAAAAGGGCTATCAGAATAATAGCAGGCATAAGTAAAGAACAAAGCTGTAGAGATGCCTTCAAAAACCTGAACATCCTGACAGTGACTTCCATCTACATCCTAGAAACTGTTTTTTACTGTGTAACCAAAGACCCGCCTAAACAAAGAGATATACATGAATACAACACCAGATATGCAGGAAACTACGTGCTGCCTGGCCACAGAACAGCAATGTTTGAAAAGAAACCACTGTATGCAGGAGTGAAGATGCTTGACAAATTACCAGACCACTTGAAAATTGGAGGCCCGTTGCTGATGAAGAGGAAGCTACGGAGATGGCTGGTAGACAAAGCTTTCTACACCCTAAATGAGTTCTTTGCTTGGCAAGACCAAACCCACACAACACTGAAGAAGCTTTTCCATTTCACTTTGTATCTGTAAAATTTGACGCTGTAACATTTCTTGATGAAATTGTAATAAAGAAATTGTCTATTGTCTATTGTTGTTCAAATGGTTTTTTGTTTCCACTGTTGTTGTTTCCACTGTGAATATGAATAATAATTGAATCCTTCAATGACAGTTTTAGTCAAGATTTCTTGGATGTAGTCATACTTTTCTAAAATCACTTGACTTTTATGGAAACATATATTTATTAGCCTCGACGTACCAGTATTGTTTAGCCTTAGAGGGTTTTCCTCTGCAATTGTCACAAACTTAAGTCCATGTTTCCTCCTAAAATAGTAGCAATTCAGCTAACTTTCTCGTTCATTGTTTTGAAGGAATCTTTATCTTGTAGGCGTTCTTCATTATATAGGCTTAAAACAATGGTAAATTCTAAAAAAAAACATATTATTTTATTTCTTCTACTTGGTGGCGTTCTATGACTTTTCTATGTTTCCATAGTTTACAAATCGGTTCTTTCAATGATTGATCAAGAAATACAGTACTATGTCAATTCATTTTTCTTATTTGGTGAATTATATATAATTTTCCTGGCTTTCTCGTTTTTCTCCATTCTAATATGTATGCTATCCCAAATTTAAAAAAAGTAATTATTTCATTTCAACCAATTCAGTGATTGTTAATGCGTGCATTTACTTGAATTGCAACTGAAATATTAACAGAAATTTAATCATCCAGCTGATCATAATGTAATCCAATATGTTCTTCACAAGGCCAAGGGAGTTTTTCAAAATTTAAGGTCAGTTTGAAAATCTATGCAACACACTCTTTCTAATGAGACTTGAATGGTCGAAATAGGTTAAGAAATGGCGGAGGAATTCTAAGGACAAATTTTATGTTGGCGTATTAATTATATAGGTGTCCCTAAATTTCAATGATACTGTATACGGCACAGGTGATGGTGACAGTGAAGATGTTGATTGTTCTGGTTGATTTTAGTGTGCTGTAAAATTAGAAGATGATGACATCCTTGGAGATCTGATTCAAGAACTTGATTCCAAGAAAGATTCAACTCCTGGACCAAGGCCTTCTCCTCTTTCAGTGAAGCAGGAGGTTTCAACCAAGTGAGTTGTGTAGAAACAAGAGTCGTGTGGAAACAATTTGAAACTAGCAGTAAGTCAATCAGCTTCACTGAACATAGTCCAATCCTTTGAGGTTGAAGACCTAGGGTGGGGTAGTCTTAAAAGCTTCAATATTTTAGTATTAGTGGATGATTTTTGGGTAGATAAAACACATCATACGAAATTTCCATACTGAACTGAATCAAGATTTGACATTAGTCCCCTGATATTGGCCATTTTCCTAGTTTGTACTAGCTCCATATCAAGCAACTAATCACTTGACGGCCATAAAACCTGTACCAATATGGACGTTGGTAATTCCAACACCCCAAAATGACTGCTTTAGACTTTCAGCTGTACTTCCACTTTTCTCTTAGTTCACATATTCATTGAAGCACACATCTGGGTGTGCAGATTTGCAAACTGGCTTTAGATTTTCGATTCAATCCAAAAATGTACCTAGATAAAGAAACTCAATAAATACTGTGTTTGCATTTTTTGTTTACATTTCTAAATTGAAGTTCAGATAGCCCAGCTGTTCAATTTGCTTTTCCACCTAAACCACCCCTTGGTGTTTTTGCAAATTTACTATAACTAGTGTACCTATTGCTCGAATTCGAGCAATTGTGAAGTATTACTGACGTTATTTTAAAATGAATAACAGTCATAACTTCCGATGACCTTAAAAGAGTCGACTCAAAGATTATGGAAATACTCTTAACGTTTTTTTATACATTGCAACTGAACATATTTTTACGCAAAATATGAGTGAAAAAACTGAAGTTATTGTAGAATTTTTTTGGTTTTTAAAGATAAGAAACAGTATATTTTACGACACTGACAAAGATTTCAAATACTAATTTTATATGTACAGTACTTTACTTTGGTTAAAGCGTAGCAAATGTCCTAATTCAATTCTGTATATTTGTGTGTATGTCTGTTTGTAACACATTAATGTCCTTATTTCTCAGTGTTTTGTGGAAAAGACTAGAGAACCTTTGTTAATGAATATTTAAACCGGAATAAAGTGTGCAATGGTGAGGTTGAGGTAGTATTATAACTACTTTTAACCAGTGTGGAAAGTAGCTTTAAATTGTAGGCTTTCAGATGGATTGTATTTGCAAAGGATGAGCAGGATGAGCAAAGGATTGTATGTGCAGTGTAATGAGTATGAAAAAAAAAACAAGGAAATATTATTACTTCCTATAACAGTTTTTCCAGCATATCAGAAAAAACGCACACTAAAAATGCAAACCAACTGCTGTTCTGAATATAACTACTGTATTATCATAATCATACAACTTAAGAATCTTGGGAGCAGAACCTGTACCCACCTCTTAACCACTGCTCCTTGAACTGTCAAATTAAAGTACTTACAGATGACTTTAATTAATTTGTTTAGCTCCATAAGCTTAACATTATGTTAATCGAGACAAAGACGAATCCAACGAATCAAAAATCATTAAAATCAGTCCAGCCGTTGTTGAGTAATAAGTGGTGTAACTAACTCGACTTTGTTATATTTATACAGGGTGATTGATATAAGTGTGCCAGCCGTTTTATTCGAAAACTATAAGAGATATCAAAAAAAGTTAAATGGTAAGTGCCTTGGATTTTTTATTAAAAAAATTATAGTCAAGTCCAAAAAATTATTTTAGCCGCCATTTTTCCAATATGGCCGCCAACTTTGATTTTTCTTATGGAACACCCTGTAATTTATGATGTATTCTGGTAGAAAAATTGATTTTAAGACGATTTTATTCTTGTGATTTTTTTCATAAACCTAACCGTTTCAAAGATAATACCCCCGCCGCAGCAAACCTGCAGACTAAGCGAATTTCCAATTGCCTGATTGGATTTACACTAAATTGTCTCCTTAAAAATATCGCATTTATTCCCTATTTAAATAGAATCAGTTTAACACATACTTAGGTTTGCTGCAACAGGGGGGTAAAAGTGTTTTTTATGTAAAATGTCAATAGTTAGTAAGAAATAAAAACATTTTCCAAATTTGGGCAAAATATGTTAATAAACAAGCAAACTACAACAGTTTACTTATTCTCCATAAGAATAACATGGGAATTTTAAATTTACAATTTTTTGGAATTTTCTCCGTAACCATTAGGCGCATTATAATGCTTCAATATACTAAATTATTTGTTTTTTTAAGCTCTACAAAATAGTTTAGAAATAATTTGCAAAATTCTATGTTTTTTGGGTCAAAAATGGGAAAAACCCATTTTTACCCCATAAAAGCCCCCATAAACCCCCGTTCCCATGGTCCGATCATGCTGGTTCGCGAACTCGTTCGAATAAACGTAGGTTTACACGTTTGTACCAAATTTCATCGAAATCGGATCATTTTTGCTTGAGTTATCGCGCTAACGGACACATATATATATATATATATAAATATATAAGATATATATAAATATATATATATATATGAATTTGAACGGATGGTATTTTTGGCCTCTAGGGACCTCAAAACGAAAAAAAAAATTGGTCCCGGGTCCAGGTCTTACCATGAGTACTACGGTAATAGCTTATTCCCTATATGGGAAATTCGCTAATAATGGTTTAAGTTGTGAAATTTTGAATGGTTTTCGAACAAAACAGCTGGCATACTTGCTTATGCCTTTATCAAAACTCTTTCTCATGCAGAAATTTCAAAACTTTAACCATTATTATCTTTGAAACGGTTAGGTTTATGAAAAAAATTACAAAAATAAAATCGTCTTAAAATTACTTTTTCTACCAGAATACATCATAAAATACAGGGTGTTCCGTAAGAAAAATCAAAGTTGGTGGCCATATTGGAAAAATGGCGGCTAAAATAATTTTTTTGACTTGACTACAATTTTTTTAATAAAAAATCCAAGGCACTTACCATTTAACTTTTTTTGATATCTCTTATAGTTTTCGAATAAAACGGCTGGCACACTTATATCAATCACCCTGTATACATTATATTGGAATTAATTTAATTCATTCCCTCCCAGTAGGAAAATGAAGACAACTTTAACAAATTAATAACATACCTTTGAATTTTTATAATGTAGAAGAATTCTTAACAACATAACTTTATATAGTGTGGCCTTTTCTAAATATAACTAATGTAATGAGTACCCGGTATAAGGAATTGAAGTAAATATTTCTGTAGATAACTTTTTTATTTTTGGACTCCAGTAATTCAAAATAGCATAATGGCACATTCATGTAGGCCTACATTTTGTATGTGTTGAATAAAGATTGATTTGATTTGATCAACCAAGTATTGTATAGCCTTTTGTGTTATTTCTATTTATTTGTTGTCATGTTTTTAGCGAATTTCCCTATAGGGAAGTAGCTATTACCGTAGGTCTCATGGTAAGACCTAAGCCCGGGACCGATTTACTTTTTCATTTTGATGTCCCCAGAGGCCAAAAACACCATTCGTTCAAATTTTTATATATCTATATATAGATATATATATATATATATGTGTCCATCCGCACGATAACTTGAGTAATTTTTGTCCGATTTTGATAAAATTTGGTTTGAAGGTGTAAGGCGGGATAAACTTGAATGAGTTCGCGAACCAGCATGATCGGACTATGGGAACGGGGGTTTATGGGGGGTTTTATGGGGTAAAAATAGGGTTTTCCCATTTTTTACCCTAAAAACACAAAAATTTCACAATTTCTTTTGAAACCATTTTGTAGAGCTTAAAAAAAACAAATAATTTAGTATATTGAAGCGTTATTATGCGCCTAATTGTTATGGAGAAAATTCAAAAAAATTGTAATTTTAAAATTCCCATGTTATTCTTATGGAGAATAAGTCAACTGTTGTAGTTTGCTTGTTTATGAACATATTTTGATCGATTTTGGAAAATATTTTTATTTCTTACTAAACTATTATCATTTTATAAAAAAAATCTTTTTTACCCTCCCTGTTGCAGCAAACCTAAGTACTCGTTAAACTAATTCTATTTAAATAGGAAATAAATGTGCTATTTTTATGGAGGCATTTTAGTGTAAATCCAATCAGGTTAATGGAAATTCGCTTAGTCTGCAGGTTTGCTGCGGCGGGGGTATTTGTATTACGTACCACTTAATTACATGTATGATGAATTACACCTGGAGAGTGGCAGTAACCACTTAAAATGTACAGTAATTCGACCTCAAAGGATATTTCCAGCTAACAAATATTTAATACTAACATAATTAAAAATCCAAGAGTAGAAAAATTTATCTTGATATGAAAATTGTGTGCCTTTTAGGTATTTATAGGTGGTAGTTTATGATAATGATAATTTAATTCTCAAAGGTAACAAAACTTTTCAGGGACTACTTGAAGTCGTTCTCCACTGTAGCTCCAAAGCCAAAGCCTGTACGGGTCTCGTCTGGACCCAAAGTAAAACATCACCTGGGATATGTTAAAGAGGGGCTGCCCCAAAATGGCCACGAAGATACCCCTCTTATTGATGACAATTTTACTGAGGTTTGCATCTCTAACCTAAATATGTGTATACTTGTTATGTTAACATAGTCCGTAGGTCAGTGGACCAACTAACCTCTGTCACCTCCACTGGCATACTTGGACGTAACATTTCAGCCCCGCTGCTAATTCGCTCTGGTATTCCTAGATGGGACTGTTACATCCTTGATTTTGTAACTGTAAATGAAATAAAATTACTGTACTAAACATGATCCAGGCTAAGAAACCATGTATCAATTTGTACTTACTCAAGTTTTTATAAAGGAAAAAGATCGTGAATCATTTTGTATAGAACTGGGAGTATTACATTATTAAAAAATTGTAGCCAATAGCCTAAAATTGAGGCTTCCATTCATTAACGGTGTTTTGATGGCTGTTGTGTCAAGTAAAAAATAATAACTGTAATGGGTGATGACGGATGTAGCTGCAATCTTAGGTGATCTTTACGATGTCATTGTGATTGTAACAGAGGTTCATGGAAACTACTCAAATCGCACTTCCAATTTGCCTACTTTGGTCACCACGGCACAAGCAATTTTTCCAGAAGCACGAAACAAGCTCGGATCGATCAACAATCCGTGATTTACAGTCCTCGAATAGAATGTTGTGGAAAATGTGTAAAAAGTAAGTTGATTTTGTCCCTAACCTGGTTTTGTTCTATTAAGTTTTTTTTATTGTTGTTTTGAGTTATGTAGGGTATGTAGACCATAAAACCACCGGGTACTTTTTTGGTACCCTTGGGCAATAGCCGCCGTCTTGGAATATGGCGGAAAACGTAATTTACAGTGTAAGCTTTTACTTAAAACTATGTTATGAAAATACCATGCTACCTACAGCAGTGCAAACACTTTTAAAATACTCACAGTGAAATTCTATGCAGGAAAATGTCATATTTTAATTATATATTGTGGGTTTTAAGGCCAGTATTTATTTTTAAATTTAATAATTTAGATAAAAAATATGTTCTATCCCTGCTTTTTTCAACTTTGTGTTAAAATCTCTGAAAAAAGGCCATGATACATGTTACAAAAGTTGTAGATCTTAAAATTGTGCATCCAATGCACCTATAGGGATCTTTGTTGGATCAATGATAACGTCACAACAATGTGTAAAAAATAACTTTTATTTATTTTTTCTATGACAATGAGGGGTATCTAATAAATGAAAATAATTTATATAACTCTTCCTAAGAATATCCTGAAGTTCTTTTCTACTGTTTTTGGTATCAAAATGCTCAATAAACCAACGGCTTGCATTTACGCTAATTAAAATTCAAATCATAGAATGTAGGCTAGCTAGTTATGGACCCCCCCCCCCCCAAAAGAGTATTTTTAATTAAAAAAAGTCTCATCAAAGCCCTTTATTTAGTGATTATTATGTTATGTTTTATGTATTTATATGAACACAGTCAGTAACGTACTGACTTTCATGGAAAATATCAATTATTGGGTTTCAAAAAATTTTAGGTATAGATCATCAATCAATAAATCAATAATTTGTCTTGTAATTTGTTGATTTGTAAATTGGGAATAGTCCGGCAACCAAACAGGGAATTTTCCTTGAACCCTGTTTTGTTCTATTACGTTTTTTTTTACCGATGATATTTTATTTTGGTAGTATATAGATGCAGAAAATAGCGGGTACTTACAAAGTACCTTTGGGCAATTTCTAGAATTTGATATAATAATTGTCCATATTAATAAATAAATCGATTAATTTAAAACATGGTAATTAAGCTATAAACTATGCGTTTTTAGTTCGAATATCATGAAATTTTGTATGAAACCTCGTTATAATGTTACTCATAAATTTACCAGATATTCGCCATATCAAAGCTGTTTCAAACTGGCGGCAGAAAAAGTGGTTTTATCTTTAAGAATTGAATTTTTTGCTCAATTAAAAAAAATTGTTATACGACCTTGTTTTAGTGTTACCTATAAGCGAACAAAATATAAGTTTTGCCAATTTAAACCTGAGGTTACTAGCAAGACACATTCTTTACATCATTATTATGGCATGTAATAATACTCGAGTATGAAGTTAACTGAATTCCCGTAGCACTTGTGGCTATGCTTGTTAGTATTAGCGTTACATTGAAAAAAGACAATAAGTTAACAAAATTAATAAAATCGATTTTAACATAGTTGAGTTTTATTATTTTGTATTGTAACATAAATATTTTATTCATGTAAAATTGTAACTTACATAATAGGCCTACATGTAGAAATAACTTGTAAATAACGTTTCAGTAACCTTAGTGGCTATTAGCGCTTTAAGTAGCTATTACTGTAGGTCTCATGGTAAGACCTAGAACCGGGAATGATTTACATCATTTTGATGTCCCCAGAGGCCAAAACCACTCTTTGGCTCAGATTTATATATATATATATATATATATATATATATATATAGAAAATTTAAAAAATAGTTCATTTAAAATCTCATGTTATTCTTATGGAGAATATTGTAAAATGTTTTAGTTGGCTTGTTTTTGGATATATTTTGATCAAACTTGGCAGATTTATTCTATACTAAGCTATAATAATAATAATAAAAAATAATAAAAATAAAGAATTATTTTAACAAAAAATATACTTTATTAGTTTCCCTTTAGCAGCAAACCTAGGTACTCGTTAAACTAAAAGGTGAATTTAATAGATTAATTGAAAATCAATGCAGGCAAATGGAAATTTGCTCATTTGTCAGGTTTGCTGCAGCGGGGATATTAACTCATTATTCTACATTGTCATAGTCTTCACTGAAGTCTTGAGTTTGTTCTTTTCTATTTAAACAGGTATTATATCCACAATAGCAAAATACTGTGCAAGGTGTGCCTGAGTTCACGCAACTACGTATTTTTCAATTCTGTTCACTGGTGTATATCAAACGCAACAAAATAAAAACTTGATAGGAATAAACCAGGTTAGGTTCATATCTGAGTTTACCCATAGCTTACTGATGTTCTCTTCACCAAAATGAATAACACAGCTCATTTAGATCTTGAGATATAGATTTTTAATAAAAGACAGTCCTTAAAAATTGAAAACCTAATGTTAGTTAGAGGTCTACAACTCACCTTAAGCTCTACATATTTAAATGAAAATTGTCTCAAATGAAAGTTCTAAGTTGACCTAGTGTTTTTAGACCAGAACGAATAGCATAGTACACATAGCAGCTGGGAAATATGTCTTTAAATACAGAAGAAAGTTAAGAAACAAAACCTTTTATTCTACGTTTAAGCTTATAACTCGCCCCAAACACGTCAGATTGCAATACATAATAGCTGAAAAGAACCGCATTAACTCACTGAGTATTCCCACACCACAACATACAATATCATGTAAAAATAACATGAGACACAATCATTAACTAAAGATAAAATGTAAAAAAAGTCAAATTTTTATTTTTTGGGGTCCACAACTCATGTTCAACTCAGCCGATTTTAATAGTCAATGGCTTGGATTAAAGCCAGTAACTAACTGAGTATTCATAGTATACAACATTTCATATAACGTAATTATAACCTGAGATAATATATTTAATTAAAGACAAATCTTGGAAAAACTAAAATGTCATTTGGTTAAAGTTTTATAAATCCCCTCAAACCCGATAGATTTGAATGACCAATGCCTCAAATGAAAGCCAGTAGTTTGCTGAGTATTTTAATAAAAAAAACATAACATCGCATAATCAGTAATCGAGGTAACAATCTTTTTTTCAAAGAAATTTATACAACCATTAAAATCTTTGTTGGTTGAAGTCTTGTAATTCACCTCCGACTCGTTCGTTTTCAGTGATCTACATGTCAAATGGATGCCAATTGTTTACTGAGTGTTTTCTTGCAATACATACAACATCTAATAATAATAACTCAATGGGTTGGTCAAAATTTAAACTTTTCTTTTTGAAAAAATATTGTTTCTTTGGAGTGAAGATGAATAGATCGGCCTTAAAGTCCTTAAATATAAAAAGTTAATAGTTCAAATTAAATTTGGTAATTTAACAAACATTTTAATACCAAAAACAGCCAGAGAGAAGTGGCGGATGGCCTCAGGAAAGATGTTACAATTTTATTGAACATGTAAAATATCCTTATTTTACAACGAAAATCAATAAAAAAATTATTTTCTAACGCTTTGCTCTGGCGTTGCCCTTGAGCCAACAAAGCATCCAATAGATGTATTCGATGCCAAATTTAAAGCTCTACAAACTTTATAAAATATATTATAGTCATATTTTGAGTAATTAAGGCGCAAAATTGAAATAAAAATAAATATGACATTATTTTTTTATAAATTATAAACTTTGAAAAGTAATACTGACCTTAAAACAAATTATATATATTTAATATGCGGTATTTCTGAGTAGGAAATTTAACCACAAACACTTTAAAATAACATGCATTGTTCCATCGTAAATAGTTTTTTAATTACATTGGTTTAAGTAAAAGCTTACACTGTAATTTACGTTTCCCGCCATTTTCCAAGATGGCGGCTGTTGCCCAAGGGTACCAAAAAAGTACCCGGTGGTTTTAGGGTCTACTCACCCTAGATATCACATATCAACAATAAAAAAAACTTAATAGGACAAAACCAGGTTCGGGTCAATTCTGCCGGACTATTAGGCCTATCTAAATAACACATTGGAGTAAATTTTATTGAGTTAATTAGTTATACTTTACCAGCCTTTTTTTACATTGGCAGGACCATGAGCCAATTGTTATGGATGTTGAGCCTTTACTGGAAATCAAGAAAGAGCCTGAAGACATTCCTCTAATCGAGGATTTGGATTCCAATGATGGATTTTCTGATGTGGCTCTTCAGCAGGTAAACACCATGTAAATATATTTCCTACAAATACAAATAAAGTTATCTTTTAAATATACAAATGCCCGTGCGGCAGCAAACCTGCAGTCTAAGTTAATTTCCATTTAGCTGGTTGGCTACAATAACTTCGCTGTCTTTACTGATATTCACGTAAAAATATGTTCAGTTGCAATGTATATAAAAAAAAACATTGTTAATATACATGTTAACCCCCACTGCAGCAAACCTGCAGATTAAGCTAATTTCCAATAACCTGGTTGGATTTTCACTGAAATATTCCTTAAAATTGTCAGATTATTTTATATTTAATTAGCATTTAACGATCCATTAGATTTGCTGCTTCAGGGAAGGTAATAAAGTGTTTGTAACAATAACAGCAAAGTATGAAATAAACACATTTTCCAAATGCTATCAAAATGTATCTCTAAACAAGCAAACTACAACACATTATTTATTCTCCATTAAGAATGACATGGAAGCGTTAAATTAACAGTTTTCCCCCATAACCACTATTAGCTGTAACCTTAACGACACTTCAATATAATTTCAATATAATTCAAATTATTTTCAAAATTTCAATATGATTACTATTTTTGTTTGTTTTTCCAAGCTCTACAAAAGAAAGAAATTGCAAAATTATATGTTTTGTGGGTCAAAAATGGGGGAAACCAATTTTTACCCCATATAACCCCATTCCCATGATCATGTGGTTTGTGAACTCGTTTGAATGGATATAGGTTTACACATTTGTTTTGAATTTCATTAAAGTTTGTAGATTTTTACTCAAGTTATCATTCGAACGTACACTTATATACTTGTTTAAGCCCTCACTCACTCATACTATATGAATTTGAATGGATGGTGAATTTGGCCTCTGGGGACCTTAAAACGGAAAAGTGAATCCGGTCCCGGGTCTAGTTCTTAAATCCAACAAAAGACCCATGGTAATTAATAGCTTATTCCCTATCAAGGAAATTTAATAAAAGTAAATCGTAACACTATGTAATCTCAAAACGATTTGGCTGATTTGTTGTCAATACATAGTTCCTATAATACAGTTGTTGTGATTATTTTGTATTGTTTGCAAACAATTCCCCGGTAACCTTCAGTAGACTAGACAGGGTGGGGGTCACTTTGAGCATTGAATAACAAAATAGAGCTATTGAACTTTTCCTACAAGGATTACTGTCCCTATGAATAAAGTAAACAAAATTCTACAACATTTATCTAGTTTCTGTAGTTTTTGGTATGTATTGTTAGCGAATTTCCCATATTAGGAAATAAGCTTACTGTAGGTCTCATGGTTAGACATAGACCCAGGACCGATTTACTTTTTTGTTTTGATGTTCCCAGAGACCAAAAACACCTTCCATTCAAATTCGTATTGATCGCCTGTGTGTGTGAGCATGATAATTGATAACTCAAGTAAAAATGAAATGAAATGTTTATTTTTCACATAGAGTTGAGATTTTTGTATTACATCACCAACATTGTTGAAATATGATTTGTGTGAACAGTTCATTTTGGTATCTCATGTGTTCTGAACAAATTAGTTGTCATGGATACCAGATGTTGTTTTGTGAAAAGCTATGTTATGGTTTTGTATTGAGTAAAACTTGCGGTGGGGCACACGGAAGATTTCTCAGGTGCCGTTTGACGTCACTAACTGCTGATGTCACTAACTGCTGCGTCTGAAGAAACAGACAATTTTATAATTTTCTATTATTAAATTAAACTGTCATAACCTAACCAAACTAACCAAACGTGCTGATAATGAAAAAATCGAATAAAGGTTTACTAATCTAAAAAATAGTTTTGTTCATGAAATAAAATTATAATTGCCTAAAATTCAATATTATAATTTTTTAATTATAAAATTAAACTGTCATAACCTAACCAAACCAACCAAACTTGCTGATATGAAAAAATTGTTGATAAAAAGTTAGCGCCGCTGGCGGAATTCGAACCCGGGACGTTCGGATTATCAGTCCGCAACGCTATCCACTGCACCACCAAGGCCGATAGCTCATAACCGTATCGTTGCGGTATTGGTGTTTCCTCAAAGTGACGTCAAACGGCACCTGAGAAATCTTCCGTGTGCCGTTTCGTAAAACTTGTACCTAAAACACCTTTATCTTTATCATTCTACATAATTTAAGTCCATTTACAACAGGTTATGACACGTCAGTTTTTTTTACAACTAAAATAAATTATACTATATATCTTATTTATTTGTAGTTAGTAATTTTAATTTAATTAATAATAAAGTTAGAATTTAATAATAAAAAAAAATAAGGAAGAACAGTGACAATGTTAGTTGAAAAAAATCTTCGAATAAGATAAAGCAGTTCTAAATGTACTCTAAATATATATTTTTTTTATATATCCACCTTTTCTGTTTATTTAATTTGGTTAGGGAAGCGGTTAGCAAATCATCCAATTTTGATGAAACTCTGTGTAAACAATATACCTACATTTGAACGAGTTTGCTAACAACCTGATCTGACTGAGGGTACGGGGTTTTATGGGGTAAAAATGGGATTTTCAAATTTTACACCCAAAACATTAAATTGTTAATTTCATTCTAAACTATTTTGTAGAGCTTGAAAATACAAATACTTTTGAATATCGAAGTGTTTTTGTACGCCTAAAGGTTACAAATAAAACTGTACATTTAAAATTCCGATGTTATTCTTATGGATGATAAACAAACTGTTGTAGTTTCCTTGTGTTGGGGGTTTTTTTTTTGTTCACTTCTATGAAGTTTGGCAAATTTGTTTATTTCACACCAAGCTATTAATATTTCAATAAAAAAATAACCCCCGCCGCAGCAAACCTGCAGATCAAGCGAATTTCAACTTGTCTGATTACATTTTAGCGAATTTCCCTATAGGGAAGTAGCTATTACCGTAGGTCTCATGGTAAGACCTAAGCCCGGGACCGATTTACTTTTTCATTTTGATGTCCCCAGAGGCCAAAAACACCATTCGTTCAAATTTTTATATATCTATATATAGAGATATATATGTGTCCATCCGCACGATAACTTGAGTAATTTTTGTCCGATTTTGATAAAATTTGGTTTGAAGGTGTAAGGCGGGATAAACTTGAATGAGTTCGCGAACCAGCATGATCGGACTATGGGAACGGGGGTTTATGGGGGGTTTTATGGGGTAAAAATAGGGTTTTCCCATTTTTTACCCTAAAAACACAAAAATTTCACAATTTCTTTTGAAACCATTTTGTAGAGCTTAAAAAAACAAATAATTTAGTATATTGAAGCGTTATTATGCGCCTAATTGTTATGGAGAAAATTCAAAAAAATTGTAATTTTTAAATTCCCATGTTATTCTTATGGAGAATAAGTCAACTGTTGTAGTTTGCTTGTTTATGAACATATTTTGATTGATTTTGGAAAATATTTTTATTTCTTACTAAACTATTATCATTTTATAAAAAAAATCTTTTTTACCCTCCCTGTTGCAGCAAACCTAAGTACTCGTTAAACTAATTCTATTTAAATAGGAAATAAATGTGCTATTTTTATGGAGGCATTTTAGTGTAAATCCAATCAGGTTAATGGAAATTCGCTTAGTCTGCAGGTTTTCTGCGGTGGGGGTATTTACTAAAATATTCCCATAAATAAGACCTATTTATTCCCAATTTAATTAACATTAGATTTAACAAGTGCTTAGGTTTGCTGATACGGGGAAAGTAAAAAGTGTTTTTTGACCAAACATCAATAGTATAGGATGAAATAAATAAATTTGCCAATTTTTATCAACATATATCCATAAACAAGTAGGGATGGACGGGATTGAATTTTTAGTTCGGGACGGGACAGTAAGGGATATTTATTTCCTTCCTGATTTTCGGGACGGGACGGGACGGGATTTTTTCCTGTGCATAAAAAGAAGGTCTTGAGTTTATGCAGTTACCAAACAGGCCAACAAAATCAAAAGAAGTTCAAAATCCTTATAATATTCTTCTTATAATAATCAGTAGTTTTGCAACTTCAAGATTGAAATTTAAAAATTCAAAAATAATCAAAAAGAAATTTAAGTAAGGGAGATGAAGGTAAATCATGTATGTGAAAATGTTACTTGAAAATTTGAAGATTTTCATACAGTCTACACAAGATTAAAAATTAATAAAAACCGAAAATATTTCAATTTTGTGTCCTCTTCCCGTTGCAATGCACGGTACAACAGCTAGTAGTTATATGTATATGAATTTGAACGGATGGTGTTTTTAGCCTCTGGGGACCTCAAAACGATAAAGTAAATCGGTCCCGGATCCAGGTCTTACCATGAGACCTACGGTAATAGCTTATTCCCTATATGGGAAATTCGGTAAAACACACTTTATTACCTTTGCTGTAGCAGCAAACCTAAAATGTTGTTTGAATAGTAAATAAATCTGACTTTTGAGGCAATATTTAGGAAAAAAGGTTTGCTGGGGCAGTAATATTTGTATTGTATGATACACCTTTTAAAGTTTAGGCTATATTTTATAGGGGTGGGCGAGTACTCGCCTTAACTAAAAAATAATCATCATGGTTGATAATTTAAATGTTGCAAACAAGTAAACAAAAATATAACCCATTAACTTGGTACCGAAGGTATCGGTACCGACATTGGGAAATACCTCCTATTTTTGCTTTCTCAATGAGGATCAATTTTCAAGGTATTTATTTTTTCACACCAAAACATATCTTCAGTTATAAAATCAATAATATAAAATAGGTTCCATGGTTGACAATATGATACCGCAAGAAGGCATAAAATTATGAAATAGTCAGGCGATTTGCTGACATTTTAGCAATACAGACTCTTCTAATAAATGAATAAACATAAATATTTTTTCACCTAAAAGTTATATAGGCCTAATATGTCATGTATGTGTACATAGGTAGGCCTAAAGTACCAAATTAACAAAAAAATTTATAACACAAGTCTGGTAATTTTTGATTGTAGTTATTTCACTCCATTGACAAAAGTATGAATACAAAAATTCCGATTTGCTTAGGATCAAAATGCATTGTTAAGAATAGAAAATTCTTTTAAATCAAATTGTTGCATGAAATCGAAAACACTTTTGCTGCTTCGCACACCCCCACTCGCCTTGACTTGATACTCAAATTTCTAATCTTTACTCGACTCTATTTGAACAATCACTTCTTGTCCACCCCTAATATTTTATTTATTATTTATTACTTAAGCTTTTTAATGCTTGCTAGATGGATAAGCAAATTGAAGAGTTTGAGACCCAAGAATTTGATCAAAATGTAGTTGTGAAACAGGAAGTTGAAGAAGACTTCAAAATACAAGCAAAGTAAGTACTGTACACATATTTTAAATATTTAATATGGTATTGAAAATATATGATTGACTGATTTAAGCTTGAATTTATAAGCAGGTAAAAAAAGTATTTAATTAGATACTAGAGGCATAGACTAAGCAACACAAGTAGATTCCTCATCCCATTGTAAATTTTGAAGCTTGTTTTTTGCGTCTAGTTCATGTACGTCCACACTGATCACTAGTGTAGACAACATTTTGTTTCTATTATTTTACGGTTATTTTCATGATTTGTGCTTTACTATTTGGTTATAAAACTAGGAGACCAGTTATTGTTTATGATTATATCGTTTTATTAGGTTAAACGAGGTTTTAAATGACTGCTATAACAAGAAACAAATTGTAAACAAAACATATCCTCTATAGTTGGACGTACAGAACTAACAATAAAATTGGCTTCAGCTGTTCCATTAGGATGACTAATCTACTAAGGGAGTATGTTTTATCTATGCTAGAGGTCTTAATCATGTGATCCTGATCGGTTTTGGATACCAAGGAATCCCAGGATTACAAAAGCTATATTTGTAATTATTTTGTTATTGATTTGGGGTGTTTTACTTACGGAAAGTAAATTAAAATACATCCAATTACCTTGAAACATATATTTACAGTCATACTGTTCACTTACAGGGCGGTTAAAACGATGGTAAGTGATGATCGATTTTGATTGGACACTTGGATCATTGTTACTTATAATATGACAAAAGTTGTTCTGAAAAGCAGTTGTACTGAGAAACGCTTGATCAATAAAGGCATTTTTATTTATTATTTATTTATTTATCATTATTAAACTCAAAGGCGAATTTAGGGAAATATAATATGTTTAAAGTGTAATTAGATGTATTTGTATTTACTTTCTGTAAATTTAATAAGACATATAGCTGATTAAAAAGTGTTTTTTTTTTTCATGAATGAATCCCAAAGAACGCAATTTATATGGCAAACATAACGTGGCAATTGGTAATTGAAGTATTATTTCCTTATTATTAGGGATGGACGGGATTGAATTTTTAGTTCGGGACGGGACGGGACGGGATTTTTATTTCCTTCCCGATTTTCGGGACGGGACGGGACGGGATTTTTTTCTGTGCATAAAAAGAAAGTCTTGAGTATTGCAGTTACCAAAAAAGGCATACGAAATAAATCTTTACCGTTTTTAGCACTGATCTATAAAAACAAAAAAATGGGTAACAATTTTTCAGGTACCTATAGAAACTTGTGACTCGCGGTCGAAAGGACTCGCGGTCACGGGGTGATCGTCGGTATGACTCCGCGGTCACGGCGTGATCGTCGGTATGACTCCGGGGTCACGGCGTGATCGTCGGTATGACTCCGGGGTCACGGCGTGATCGTCGGTATGACTCCGGGGTCACGGCGTGATCGTCGGTATGACTCCGCAGTCACGGCGTGATCGTCGGTATGACTCACGGTCACGGCGCGATCGTCGGTATGACTCCGGGGTCACGTCGTGATCGTCGGTATGACTCCGCGGTCACGGCGTGATCGTCGGTATGGCTCCGCGGTCACGGCGCGATCGTCGGTATGACTCCGCGGTCACGGCGCGATCGTCGGTATGACTCCGCAGTCACGGCGTGATTGTCGGTATGACTGCGCGGTCACGGCGTGATCGTCGGTACGACTCCGCGGTCACGGCGTGATTGTCGGTATGACTCCGTGGTCACGGCGTGATCGTCGGTATGACTCCGCGGTCACGGCGTGATCGTCGGTATGGCTCCGCGGTCACGGCGCGATCGTCGGTATGACTCCGCGGTCACGGCGCGATCGTCGGTATGACTCCGAGGTCACGGCGCGATCGCCGGTATGTCTCCGCGGTCACGGCGCGATCGTCGGTATGACTCCGCAGTCACGGCGTGATCGTCGGTATGACTCCGTGGTCACGGCGTGATCGTCGGTATGACTCCGAGGTCACGGCGCAATCGTCGAAACGACTTCGTCTCCTGCGTTCGCGGACCTATCGCTCGCAATAGCGGCGTCATCGGCACTCGCGAAGCGGCAAAATCGCTGGCGATCGGACCAAATCCCGTCCCGAAAAATTCCCGAATCAAATGTAGTCCCGTCCCGATAATCGGGAATATTTTTTTCCCGAAAAATTCCCGAAATTTCGGGACCCGTCCATCCCTACTTATTATATTGAGGGGCGGTTTGGGAGCTCGAGCCCAGCTAGTACGCGCCTAGTGTTAGACGCGCCTAACTTTAGTCCCCGGACAAGAAAGCAGGCTTGGGAGCTCGCGCCTAAGTTGAAATGGTCGTAGATCAAGTATAGTCGCGCCTAAGTTGCAGCGTAGCTTGATGGACAGGGAATCGCGGGGAATTCAGGTTTTGACGTTGGCAACGGCCACTGCAGAGCACGTTACCGTTGACAACAACAAACGATGAACAATTGAAGATGGATACAATTTTATATTGGTATATCAACGGTGGCTAATTAGTAGACTATGGTTTAAGTTTCTGCATTGTACCATTGCAAAAATTTAGTTTTGTAAGATCGTTGATTTACATCTCAATGACGGCTATGTTTTATCTCTGGTACTACACCTTATAAATACGTACAGAGAAGCATAGGCTTCTGAAAATCAATATGATTTCTTTCAGAGATCAAAAAACATTCGGTAGCCTAATCATTTAACAATGATTACCCTGTGTGTGGAATGGTAACACCTGAAACTCGGTTTCATGCAATAAAAAGCTTGAAAACTAAACAGCAATTGCCCTGTATAATATATGGGTATTGAAGGAAATAAAATAAAAAGTATTTTAAGTAATTGCGGAGGTTATGATAGTGTGAAGCAAATGTATATCTGTTAATACTTACAAAAAAATTGTTGTAAATTAAAAAAAAATTAAACATGACACTCTTTTATCTAACTTTCCTATAGTGAAGTAGCTATGACCATAGGTAGCACTTAGTTCCGGGACCGATATACTTTTCCATTTTGATGTCCCTAGAGGCCAAAAACATCCCCTATTCGTTCGTCCCTATTCGTTCAAATGTTTATATATGTATAGCCAATACATTATATACACGTCCATGATCGTGACCGTTTCATGATCGTTTGATAAAATTTTGTATGAAAGTGTAAGGTGAGATAAACCCTAATAAGTTCGCGAACCAGCTTGATCAGACCATGTGAACCCGGGGTTTTATGGAATAAAAATAGTTTTTTCCTCAATTTAAACCCCTAAAACATAAATCTGTATCTTTAAAATATTTTAAAGAGTATAAAAACAAATTAGTATCTTAAAATGTTTTGTACGGTTATTGGCTACAGAGACTATTCAAAAATCGTAAATTTAAAACTCCCATGTGATTCTCATGGAGAATACGTTAACTGTTGTAGTTTTGTAGTTTATGGATATATTTTGATGAATCTTGGCAAATTTATTTATTTTATATAAAGTTGTTAATATTTTGGTAAAAAAACACACTTTATTGCCCTCCCTGTAGTAGCATATCTACACGTAGGTAGTTTTAGTTACTTGTTAAACCTAAAGCTATTTAAATAAATTTAATTGAAAGTCCTATTAGGTTATTGGATATTCGCTTAGTCTGTAGGTTTTCTGTGGCGGGATTATTGATTTACTGTATATATTTTCTTATACTCCAAATAATCTAGGTACTACATTTTGATGTAACTAGCACTTGTCAATGACACTGAACTGAGCTCAATCACAACACAATAGAGAAAAAGAAAATGATTATGTCTGTGAGCTATTTGCAGTTTTTTATGTTTTGTTTATTATCTCTTCACTTTTTCGTAAGGGGTGAGTGGGGGGGGGGGGGTATGTATGTGGTTGCTAATTTTTTCCTAGCTAATAAAATATTTATAATTAATGTACGGGTACTTATAAACCAAACTCTCAGTTGAAATAAATTCTATTCAGGCTCCATATGTTTATTGTAGTTAACAGAAAAAACAAAAACAAAATAATATTTCGTTAAATTACTTCCCGCATGATTTTTTCCTTTATTTTGAATAACAGAAACCTAAAAAAAAACTTTTATCAGATATACTTTGAGGGTAATGACATTGTTCGGAATTTAATAACGAATTCCAATATACAGGGTGATTGATATAAGTGTGCCAGCCGTTTTATTCGAAAACTATAAGAGATATCAAAAAAAGTTAAATGGTAAGTGCCTTGGATTTTTTATTTAAAAAATTGTAGTCAAGTCAAAAAAATTATTTTAGCCGCCATTTTTCCAATATGGCCACCAACTTTGATTTTTCTTATGAAACACCCTGTATTTTATGATGTATTCTGGTAGAAAATGTAATTTTAAGACGATTTTATTCTTGTAATTTTTTTCATAAACCTAACCATTTCAAAGATAATAATGGTTAAAGTTTTGAAATTTCTGCATGAGAAAGAGTTTCGATAAAGGCCTTAGCAAGCATGCCAGCTGTTTTATTCCAAAACCATTCAAAATTTCACAACTTAAACCACTATTATCTTTGAAACGGTTAGGTTTATGAAAAAAATTACAAGAATAAAATCGTCTTAAAATTACATTTTCTACTAGAATACATCATGAAATACAGGGTGTTCCATAAGAAAAATCAAAGTTGGCGGCCATATTGGAAAAATGGCGGCTAAAATAATTTTTTTGACTTGACTATAATTTTTTAAATAAAAAATCCAAGGCACTTACCATTTAACTTTTTTTTATATCTCTTATGGTTTTCGAATAAAACGGCTGGCACACTTATATCAATCACCCTGTATAATATGTAAACAATTAACTTGCTAATGAGCTAATACCGGCATGATGTCGACTTAGACCTGCCCCCTGGCAGGACTAAAGTTGGGGACTAAACTCACTGATTTTTATGACGAAAACATATCTCTTAGTCCCGAAATTGGTCTCCCAAACCCACCGAGACTATCTCTTAGGCTGGCGTCTAAGTCTACTTGACTCCCAAACCAACAATATTTAGGCGCGAGATTATCCCT